TGAGCTGTGGCAGTCTTTTTAAAAGTGCATTCTTCAAGCATTGTCTTAGACCAGAGGTTCTTAGACCTTTGGTCTAAGACAATCACAGGTGGTGTTTGTTACAAGACAGGTGGAAATAAAACTGGATTAGACTGCTTCACTTGTGGGTGGTCAGCCGAGTTGTCTAACATGAGGATGGGAGAATGAAAGGAAGGATCTAGCTCTTTGATGTGGAGCCTGAGGACAATCAAAGGTGCCATTCCATCAGTTCCTTGATGTGAACTTGTAAATTGCAGCTGTCTAGAGACAGATTATGACAAATTGCTTACCAGACACAGCGTGACTCTTGGCCTAGTTCCCAGTCTGGTATATGCTCATAAATAATGCCTGCCCAGGTTAGATCAATAGGCAACTTGCCCAGCAGTGCCTTTCACTTGGAGAGTGCATGGTGACAGTGTTTTGCTTGCCTAGAAATTTGGCTATTTGCATATGGAAACCCACAATCCAGTTGGGGCTCCCTTGCGGGTCTTTGGGCGGTACAGTTCAAAAATAAAATGGTAGCTCAGTGGCACCTCAAAAACTAATAAAGTTTATTCCAGCATAAGATTTGTGAGTCTCAGTTCACTTTTCAGATACATAGAAGAATTTTGAAAAATCAATTAAACTGTTAGGCTGATACATTTCTTATAAAGGCTGCCTGAAAGATGTTGCTGAGAGACTGATTTAAACAAAAGCCAATCAAAAGAGTAACCAATCTACTTCAAGTTGGTGAGGTCAATTCCAACTGTTGAAAAGAAATGGAGGATTTTACACATTTTACACATTACACATTTTATCCAAGAAAGTGTCAGGTTGCAACATCGGTAGAGCTCATTTGAAAAGTGTACAGGTATAGCTGAGCTAGGTGACATGTGTCTGGGGGTGGCCTATGCCAAGATGGCAGTGTCTGTGGTGAGTGAGAAATGCCAAGTCCCTGTGAAGACCAGGGCAAGGAAGGAGACAGAACTGAATGTGAGTAATCATAATTCAGCAATTTCATGCTGATTTCTCCCTCTGAAGTTCATTGTAGGACAATAGTGACTTCTGGATCAGCAACAGTTTAAAGTAGCTTCGTGGTTACTTTAATCTGTTCCAAGCAAGCACTGCTACTGAAATCAAAGCAATTAAAATATAGAAGGCACTCACCTCCATTCCTCACCTTAAGTAAAATCACAAACTTGCCCTCTGTATTTATGCTATATTTTTAAAAAAATTTTTTTTTAAAGCCCAATAAACAATAAATTTAGAAATGTGAAGGAGACTCCTAAATGGCCATATTTGTGTCTCACTTTCTTCAAGGAGCTGTGTGTGTCTCTGTGTGTGGGCTCTTGTGGTGTTCTTGTGTGACTGTGTGACTCACCAGAGGTCACCCAGCGAGTTCTGTGACTGAGCAAGAGCTTGAATCTGTTTCTCTCCTCTGTTTAAATCCAGCATTCCAGGGTGTGCAGTTACTGAAGCATTGAAGTTAAGGGAATGAGCATTTTCCCATGTACTTCTACCCTGCAAAATGCCAGAGGTGGGGATGCCCTCCTGATTTTTGCTGGGCGGTATCTTGACATCCTTTCTTTTCTTTGTAGAGTGTTTAAAAACTTGCTTCCAAAGCTTTTCCTGGTATTTTATACAAGTAGAATTGTTCATACCGTACCTTTTAATCTTACAACTTGATTTCTTGGACTGATCTGAAAAAATACTTCCTGTTGCATTTGACTGCTATTCACAGCTACTGTATCCAGTGCTCTTTTGTTTGAGGAATACAGGCATTGAACAAAGCCACTGCTTCTCATGAAAACATTGACTAAACTCTTTAAAAAGCCCTAGCATTAATGCCTTCCAGGGTAACCCCCCCCCCAAAAAAAAATATGTTAGAGAGAGATGGTTTTAATTAGTTTCACTACTTGGTCTGCCATTAACTTACTGGTACAGGAACTTGACAGAGCTTTGAAATGGAAATTGGATATACTTTTATATAAGGTCTGATCTGCAAAGCAGGGTATTTGTTCTCTGTGTCAACCATTGGTCTGTAACGAACGCTGTTCAGGATGTGTTGATCAGTGATGTAGAAATATGGTGGGACAGTGGGGGTATTTACTGTCTGTGTGCTGCAGCGTTCATACAGTGCTTTCTTAACAATCACCACTCAACAGGTTTTCCAACAGCTGCTCAGTTTTGCAAATGAATGATGATTTAAATTATGAATGCACAATACATATATCCTCATCATTCAGATTCCGTTGCTTGTGGATGCCCTTGTATTGATCTGGTCTGTGATCATTCTCATACTGCTTGTACTCTGGAGCATTTTGATTTGCTCAAACAGAACAGGCATTTTACACATTGAACCATGACTGCAGCTGCATTTTACACACTGAACTATGACTGCTAGAGAATTTCTTCAGGGGCCTGTTGTTGGGAAGGCCAAGGGCTTCTCCCTCCCACTTTCTTACTTAGCTGCTGGTGGAGCCTCTTCTCTTCTGCCACCCTACCCCCAGAAACTTGGATGCTGCTAGGGACTTTCTCCAGATCAGAGCACACCACAAATGCCTGATGTTTCCCAGAGTGCACCTGGAAGCTCAGACCTTGATAAACTGTTCAAGGTACTCAGGGAGGAAAAGTGGAAGGGGACCTTTCTTCCGGGTTGGCTGGGGCAGCCGCTGCAACAAATTTGCAGGTGGTCTCTTGCTTGGATATATACTACCCAAGTCCAAGGGAAACTCTGTTGCCACATGTGCTTCCATGTGGAAGGTGAGTGTTGTGAGCTGCAGATGCTCCTTTTTGGGGGCCTTGCAGTCACAAACTTCAGTGATAGCACTAGTCAGGCTTCACCATGCCATAGGTCTGAGAGGGAAGAGAGGATGTGTTAGCAAAAGATAGTGAATTACATCCTTCCCAGCCCTTCCCTAGTGCCTCAAAGACTACTTATTTATTTTGAAAATTTCTGTGCTGCCTCTCCAGGAAACCTGCCCCAGGCAGTATACAAAATAAAACATAATAGAAACGTATAACATTCAAGTTACTAAATGCCTACATAAAAAAGGCGCCGTGACGCAACATAAAAGGTGGAACAGCTTAACATGGGTCTTAAGCAGGCTAAAAGCAGACTATAGAACAATGTTTTTAAAACCTCTTAATTAAAAGCCTGGGTAAACAGAAACATCTTGGCCTGGAGCCTAGAAGAAAGTAGTGTAGTGTAGATGCCAGGTGAGCTTCAAGGAGGAGGGCGTTCCATAGGCAGGATGCCACCACTGAAAAAGCCCTGTCTCTGGTTGCCACCCAGTTCACCTTTGAAGGTGGGGGCACAGAGAGCAGAGTTTTTGAGGAAGATCTTAGTTGGTGAACTGGAAAATAAGGGAGGAAGCAGTCCTTGGTCTCAAGCCAATTAGGGCCTTAAAGGTAAAAACCTGTACTTTTGCCCAGGAACAGATGGGCAACCAGCATAGATTGTGCAACACAGGGTGTTACGACCAGGGTTCCCTCTAAGCTGAGTTTTTTTAGCCTCCAGCTCACGTATTTTCGTTTTAGCTCAGGAAGGATGGTTCCACAGCAAACTAATGTATGCAGCAGCCAAATAGCTCTCTCACAACTTTAATGTCAGTAGCTCACAAAGTAGAATTTTTGCTCCCAGGACTCCACAGCTTAGAGGGAACATTGGTTACGATCCCTGTCTCTCATCCTTGACAGTAGCCAGGCAGCCCCTCAGACCATTTTCAAAGGCATTGACCTGGACGTAATTGGAACCTGAATCACTGTGACTAGGTCATTCTTTTAAAGGAAGAGGTGTAGTTCTGTGCCACAGAGCAGACCTGAGCCTCCCCATAGAGGTCAGGATCCCATGACACCCCCAAGCAGCAGACCTGCACCTTCATGGGGAGTGCACCCCCTCCTCCAGGACACGTTGACTTTGCAGTCCTCAGATTTTAAATTAGTTCTGAAGAGTAGCAGAAGAAGTTGCATGGTCTATAAATAATGCTTGCAGCTACTGTTGTCTGCTTCCCAAGTTTTTCAGATGCGGACAAATCCTTTCAACAAACACTATGGGCTTTCAGCTTAAAGTGCTTTGATAGAATCTGCCTGGTTCTGTGAAGCTTTGGGATTTTTAAAAATGTAACATTTCAAAATGTGGCTTTCAAAGGATCCCTAAAAACAGGCTGCCCATTTCTGGTTTTTCATAGAGCTTGTGAGACTTTGCTTGAGTCATAGGAAGGGATTCTTACCTTGAACTTGTTTCATTATTCTTAGAAAGCCTTTGGCAGTGCCCATTGTTAGACTTGGCCAAATGCTTAATGGGTTCAGAATTGCTGGAATAGAGTCTCAAGAATGATGTGTGCTTATATAGGGTTTTTGCATGTGTTCTGAAAATGTGTTTATATGTTAGATGTAATATGAAAATTAATTAGCTTTTAATGCATCACCCTCTTCCTGTAAATGTAAGGAAATGTGGGAGGCTGTGGCTCTGTGGTAGAGCATATGCTTTGCATGTGGAAGGTACCAGGTTCACTCCACTCTCCAGTGAATCTGTGCCCATAAACCATTGCTTAAACAACATAGGTGGTTTTTATTTTCTGCCTGCAACTTTAAGGGGCACTGTCTCTGAGAATTTTATCCTAATTGGCTGGGAGACAAAAACCACAGCGGGAAATAGGTGTGGGCACATACATCTGGATGCATCCCTAATAAGGGATGTTCTGATGTTCTCATGTTTTATCACAGTTTCTGGATTTGTAAAACTGGAGTAGGATCCACAGGTCTTCCCTGAAGATGGAAAACTGCACAATGCACTAAAGTTTTTGACTTTCTTCATAGCTTTTAGTAAAATTGCCAGAATAAACTGGCAGCGTGTGCATAATAGTTCCAAAGTCATATTGACATCCTATGAGTTTTAAGCATCCACACTCAGTGCAATTCAATCCGAAGGTGGCAGCGGTTGTCCAAGACAGACTCAAGACTAATCAGTCTCTTTTCTTTCTTATCCCTCCTTGTTTTAGGTCCCCCAGTGGCTGCTGCTGTCAGATCTCATTTTAACAGCTGTCCAGATGCTCATAGTCAGTTCTGCTTCCATGGTACTTGCAGGTTCTTGGTGCAAGAGGATAAACCCACTTGCCTGTAAGTATGCCTTATCACATCCCCAGCTTCCCACCCTTGTGCATTTGGCTGTGATGCAGTGTTGTAAAAACACCACACTCTTCTTGGAGTGCTCACGTGCTCACTCCCTGGAGTGCTAGGAAAACTCCTAATTTCTCCTCCTCCTCATGGAAGACTTGAAAATATCTCTCCCCTCCTTTCTGTAGCATTAATGTTTGTTTTACTAGATCATTGAAAGTTACTGTAGCATGGCTCTTCAAAGAATGAGCTGTCAACTGGCAAGTCTCTGGTTCAGAGTAATACAAGAGCAAATGCACTGATCCAGAACCCAGACTAGGGGGGAGGGAGAGTAAATCTCTCACTCCTTCATAGAAAAATGTCCGCTCCGTTAATCCAGCTGGGCTACGGCTATCAGCCTCTTCGGAGCATGCCTGTTTTTCCCGTGCTCTTCTGTTGAGTTAACAGTTTCCTAAAGGAAACACCCTAGGTGGAATCCAGCAGGAAAGCTTGAGAAAAGAAAAAAAATTTGCAGAGTGGATCTTTCCTCACCCTTCCCCAAGCAGCCTGGTTCCTGTCCTCAGAATGTCAGGAGTTCCCCTGTTGCATCACAATGTGGGGTGCTGCAGTGATGATAGAGAATCATCTTCTCCCTCTTTTGTTGATGGCTTTCATCAGTGGGGAAAAGAAGCAATTTTACCTGATGTTCTCTCCCCACCATTGTAGCTACAGTGCCCTTTCTGAGGTTCATTTTATTTACAAGGCTCTTGCAAACCACAGAAGGTTTTTGCAACAAATGCAGCCAGCTGCTTGGGGAAGAGGAAGGCAAGGAAAGACCCACTGCTTCCTCTAGCTTCTCCCCTTTATCTGATCCTGATTGAAAACACGTACAGCCTTACCTTTTAGGCAACAATCCCTTTGAAAACAATGCTGTTTTTCATCAGATCTCAGAAGCTAAGCAGGGCCAATCCTGGTAAGTATTTGGGTGGGAGACCTCCAAAGAATACCAGGGCCGAAAGACAGAGGCTGGCTATCAAGCCACTTCTCTGAACGTCTTCCATGCCCCAGTAGGAGTTGCCAGAGGTTGCCATGACTTCTAGACACGGGCACACAAACAGACGTGCACACACACACAAATGCAAAAACACCCCCACCCCCCCCAAAAAAGAAAAGAATGAAAAGTTTTTGCTGTGTGTGTCTGGATGGAAGACCCTAGGGTAGAGTCTAAATAGGCAATGTGGTTAGGGACTCCTATTATTGTATTAGCAGCTTGTATTATTCCTCCCCTGCACTCCACTTTCTGTCTCCAGAGACCTTGGAGTGCTGTTACCAATGTTCCCTCTAAGCTGTGGAGTTCTGTGAGCACAAATTCTACTTTGTGAGCTACTGGCATTAAAGTTGTGAGCGGGTGATTTGGCTACTACATAAATTAGTCTGCTCTGGAGCCATCCTTCCTGAGCAAGGACAAAAATGGGTGAGCCGGAGGCTAAAAAACTGTGAGCTAGCTCACACTAACTCAGTTTAGAGGGAACACTGGAGCCTGTGACCATATGGAATTCAGTTTTAAATTCTGTTTTAAAACTTTCTGATTGGCTAACATGTTCTGTTATCTCCCTCTCCCCACACCACAGTTGTCATTCTGGGTTCATGGGAACACGCTGTGAACATGCAGATCTCCTTGCAGTGGTAGCTGCTAACCAGAAGAAACAAACCATAACTGCCTTGGTGGTGGTCTCAGTAGTAGCATCAGCTGTACTTATCATGGTCTGCGTACTGATACAGTGAGTACAATTTCATGCTCTTGGCTATAGAAAAAGCCTGATTTAAATGACTTCTGCATGCTTGGACAAGAATGAGTGTCTGTGTTGAATAATTTGTTTTATGTTAGGATTTCATTGGGAGAGGGGGAGAAAAGGACTCTGACCTGTAAAATGGGTGTCTACGGGTGCATTCAGACGGGGCGTTTCAGCTGGCATAAACTGCTCCGGTTGGAACCATTGCAGTTTATGCCGGCTGAAACGCGATCACACTTACCTCCTGTCTGTGGAGGCCATCGCTGTATGCCCGTTCACATGCAGCGGGCGTCGGCGTTGTTTTTTTTTAAACAACCTCAGTTTGAGCATGCGCATAGGCAGCCATCCACAGAATGGCGATCTTTGCGCATACGCAAAAAACCCTGTATTACATTTAAACTTTAAAGGTAAGGACTTACCTTTAAAGTTTAAAGAGCAAAGTCGCCTCCCTGAGGTCCCGGACGCCTCCGAAACGCTAAACTAAGGCCCTTTTCTTCTTTTTTTAAACAAACGCCGGGGCGAAGCTTCGCCCAAGTGCATATCCCCGACCTTTAAGAAAATGGCGGGCGAAAATCGGAAGCCTCAGGCTTCCGAACGGAAGTGGCTTTGTAACGGTGGAGAGCGATCAGACGGGGGTAAAGCGATTACAACCGTTGCACTCAGGATACCACCACTTGGGGACCTAGCGGCAGAATACAACGGTGTAAAGCTCTTTGCAATGGTTAGGGACGGAAGGCAGATGTTCGCTGTGTGAACGCCGGTAAGTACACCGATTCCAACCAGCACCTATTCCGTTGCAAATGCCCGGTCTGAACGCACCCTCTAAGTGGCAGAGAGGGCAAGTGCTCAGACTCTTCCCTTGAGCAGTTTTCAAGGTGGAGATACATCCTACTTTATTTTCAGGGAATGCATTTAAATGTTACACAGGCCATATTTTTTTCCACAAGACCCTTTGTAATTTTGCTTAGTTACCTGGATATCCAGAGGACTGACAAGGAAAGAGTCTTGAATATGACATCCTCTGAAACAAAGAGCTCCAAATCTTACTGGAAGAAGATGAAATCAGCCATTGAGACAGGATCCTGGGAGACTGGCAGGGATTAGAGATTAGTAACACTGGATAAGAATTCTTCGCAGTAACTGGCTTTTTATGTCTTGTGTTATAACATAATCATTGTTGACATCTTTGTAGTGATGGCAAGTGTGAACGGTCTCTTTCCCAGCCACTGTTTTTATGTTTTATATTACATAAATAAAGACAAAACTATATTTAAAAATCCACAAATAGCTCTCTGTTCCAGCCATGTCCTGTTGCAGAAGGACACACCATACAGTGTGCAAGTGCACGTCTTTGTCCCTGGCCAAAATGTCCTGAAATTGCTCCTCCTTGTTATGTTGTATATTTTGGCATCTTTGTCCTGAGAACAGGTGGATGGTGGTGTGCGTGTTGCAACTGGAATTGCTTCTGTTCAGCTAAAATGAGCGCCTTTTCTGTGTCATTTGGAGGAATGGCTGCAGCGGTGTTGTGGCTGATTTCCCAACCAGTCTTACGAGATGGCTTGCTTAATCCCTTTTTCTGCGAAGCTTCAGCCCACCTTTCAGTTTACCTCATGAAATGCATTTTCTCTGGCAGTTGGGGGTGAAAAAAAAGTCCACATGTCAATAGCAGAGGACTTGACAGGGCCTCATTGCTTAAGTCATGCTGACAAAAAATTGGGTAACAACAATCACAAAGGAACAGCCATGCATGAAACCAAAAACACAGAGGCTGAAACACAGTACACACCACTGGAGAAATAGAATCTAAACCAGATTTACATATATGATCAACTTTATCTGAATAATCTATAATGGACATGTTCAAACACAACAATTTTTATGCGTAGGTATTGTAACAAGAGTCCAGTAAGCTTCCTGTTTTGAGAACACTGTTCCAACTTCCAGTGATTTTTTTTTATAATGGTAACAGGAAATTTTTTACATGTAGCTGGTTTTTGAGTGAATATGAAGGAAAACTACCAATTATATGAGGTCTCTGACAGCCTCACTTTTCTCTCTCTGAAGTTATTCTTTATGAGCTGCTGTTCTTAGAGGTTGAGGGAAAACTGCTTTCTAAAATAACCGATGTCCTCAACAGACTGACCAACTACATGCGTAAGGATGTCCCCTTTAGTCCTCAGAAGCTAATGAAGGTCTTCCCATCTCAACTTCCAAGTTTTAACATTTCAGAACAGTTAGAAATTGAGACTTGACCTCTGAAAGCTTAAATACAAAACATGAGTCTGTGAATTTCAATGAGTCAGCTGGAATCCAGCAGTTAACCTTATAGTTCTTGATCATACAGAGGAAGCAATATTTAAGTTTAGGTGCCCACATTTTGAACAATCTATACAATCCCCAATCACAACTATAGAAATCAGTGCTTTATATTGGGGGAATTAAGCACATTTTAGGTGAGGAGGTGATCCTCCCCTGCCCACACACATTATGGACTGGCAGACGTTTGTGGAGGTTCTTTTTGTGTAAAATAGTGCTTCCGTCTGGGTTCTCACACGTGGGGGGGTCAAGCGAGCATGGATACACCAAGCTGATAAGGGACTTGTTTGTCTTGGGGGGGGGGGGCATTTTTGCTGACTGTTCTGTCTTTTAGCGTTGAAGTGGCATTCTTAGTCTTGTCCTCCAGCATAAACCCCATAACCTTTTAAAATTGTGTGTTACAGTTGCTGCAGGATAAAAAAACGCTGTGAGTGGTGCAGGACTGTAGTCTGCAGGCATGAAAAGCCCAACGGGCTCCTGAAAGGAGGAACATCTTGCTGCCACTCTGAGACAGGTATATAAATTGCTGCAACAGAAATGTTATTTCTGACTGCCTGAGGGTTGGTAGTCGCTTTCCTGCTTCAGTTCATATAGCCAAGGGATACATCCAGTTACAGCACCTGTTTGACACACAGAAGGGTCCAAGGCTGAGTCCCTCAACATTTCTTGTTTAAAATGTCTTTGGCAGCTTTGGGAATGAGCTTCGGCTGTAGGCAGATACAAATGACCAGTTTCTTCAGGCTTTTTTTACCATGTGAATGCTTAGTCATATGGATTACTACAAAGTCTCTCTTTGTTCTTCTGTGATCTCTTGTGGGGAGAAGGTTGGGGGCTTTACCAGGGAGGAATGGCAGCATGGTATAGCCCAGTCTCATCAGATCTTGGAAGCTAAGACAGGTCAGTACTTGGGTAGGAGACCACCAAGGAAGACTCTGCAGATGAAGGAAATGGCAAACCACCTCTGCTGCTCACCTGCCTTGAAAGCCCCTTGCTGGGGTCGACATAAGTTGGTTGCAACCAGATGGCACTTCACACACACAACCACACACACTAGCTGTATCTGAAGAGGTGAACAGGGACTCACAAAAACTCATACCCTACCACAAATTTTGTTAGTCTTTTAAGGTGCTAGTAGACTCTTACTCTTTTGTGCTGCTACAGACAAACAAACACAGCTGCCCATCTTGCTCTAAACATGCACGCGTGCACACACGCACACACACACACACAAGGCTGGACCATGCTGATGGTTGTCTGTCTGTAATTCATGGCTGGTGATGTTGAGTGGGGAAGGTATTTCTCCCCCTCCACACACACCAACATTGTAGTGATGTGTAAGTCAGGGACAAAATTCGATGCGGTGACAAAGTTGTAACTGTGCAGATCTCAGGGGCTTTGTCAAGGTAGCAGATAATCTTTCGCAAGAAGAATTGCCTTGCTGAATCATCACATAGTTGCATCCCAACTAAATTTCCCATCAGTAGGGCAAAACTCCCCCGCCCTGCCCCCAACTCTCACTGACCTCTACAAAATACTGCTCCTGGATGATAGGGGACCTTGAGGAACAACATGAAGGGGGAGTTGGTGGAAATTGCTCCTTCCATTCTGTCACCAGAAAATTTAGCCTGGATCCAGCCATACTCCTGTTTTTTTAATTTATTTTTAAACATATGAAGAAGAAGAAATTGGATTTATACCTCGCCCTTCACTACCGGAAGGAGTATCAGAGTGGCTTACAATCTCCCTACTTGTCTCACCCTGACCTAGCCACGGTAATCCATGCAACAGTCACCTCCAGGCTGGACTACTGTAATTCACTCTACGCAGGCCTGCTCTTGTGCCTGATCCGGAAACTTCAACTGGTCCAAAATGCAGCCACGCGGGTCCTTACAGGGACCCCCTCATACAGCACATATCCAACCAGTGCTGGCTTCCAGTTGAGCACCAGATCAGGTTCAAGGTTTTGGTATTGACCTTTAAGCCCCTTAGCAGTCAGGGACCTACATACCTTCGGGACCAGCTCTCCCAGTGTGCCCCTGAAAGAGCATTACACTCAGGAAATAAGAACCTGCTGCTGATAGAAGTCCAGCCTGGTGGAATGCTCTGCCAGAAGACATCCATGTCCTGTGGGAGTTGTTACCTTTCCACAGGGCATGTAAGGCAGAGATGTTCTGCTGGGCTTTTGGTTGAGGACAGCTGTGTGACTACTTCTGGCTCTCTCATATAACTCCCTATTCCGCAAGCGCCCCCCCCCCCCGGGAGGCTGGGAAGTTTAGGATCCTTCCGCCATCTTATATATGGTACATATACTGCTTTTACTCATTGTTATTTATTGTATTGTTTTAAATGTTGTTGTATGAGATTGTACGCTAATTGTTGTAAGCCGCCCCGGGCCCTGCTTGTAGGGAAGGGCGGTCTAGTAAATCCAATTTAATAAATAAATAATAAATTTCCCCTCCCCTCCCCACAACAGACACTCTGTGAGGTAGGTGGGGCTGAGAGAGCTCTTTCGAGGACTGTTCGTGAGAGAACAGCTCTGAAAGAACTTATGCCTGACCCAAGGTCACAGCAGCAGCTGCATGTGGAGGAGTGGGGAATCAAACCCAGTTCTCCCAGATTAGAATCCACCCTCCTAACCACTACACCATACTGGCTCAAATGTAAGCAAGTGACTGTCCCTACATCTTGTGATTGTGTTCCACAGTTCATTATGTTTTGAAGTCATAGCAGAATCATTCCCTGATGGGTACGTTAAAGTGTTTTGATGTGTGTGGTTTTGTTTTGTGTTTTGCAGTTGTCTGATGGGAGACCAGGGTCGTCTGAGATTCTTATTGCTATGTATAGATGGGACCACTGTATATCCTACAGGACAACTAAGATATTCCAGAGAAGAATGTTTAATATGGACAAAACCTTTCTGGGTTTGGAAGGGTATTGACAAGCAGATGCCCTACCTCTTTGGCTACTCATCCGCATCCTCTGTTTTATATGTTGGGCTTCTGGAACTTTGCCAAAGGGAAGTTATTGTCCTTGTGACTTCATAGAATGTCACACGTCAGACTAAATGGTATCCAAGTTATGACGACCAAGGAATCTCAAATGACACCCTTAACGAAGAATATAAGCCGGTCATAAGAGAACTGCACATTGGACAGCTTCATGTTTACGTAGCCATAAGAAATGTGTTTGGACGGGGTGACTTATACAAGGAAGGAAATGTTGTACAGGTTGGGCTAGCTTTTTGTTTTCCAAGAGTCTTTATGGAACATCCTTGAAGGATATAGAACTTGGGTTCATGCATTTGTTACATGTTTCCCTCAAAAGGAGGGACTAGCTATACATAGGTTATTTTGAAAAAGCGAAATCCTCAGTTTGAGAAGATCAGTTTCTTTGCCTGGAAACTTCTTTGTTTGCATCCACAAACTACAAGATGAAGTTTTCCCAGGTAACAACACGGAGCTACAAGAACTTAATAGTTCCATATTTTCCTATTCTTTTTCAAAGGAGAAAACTTGGTGGGGTAAAACAGCATTTTGAGCAGAGTGACTTCAAACCTTATGCCTCTGTTTTCCTTTAGTAGTGCAAACTGTGTAGATGTACTCTTTCTCAGTTATGTGGATTAATTGATTCTAGGTCCCATAGACAGGAGTGACTTGTGAAAGGACTCGCATGTTCAATATCTGTTGTTGAGGACTTAGGCAAGGCCTTCTAGATCAGCTGAGTTCTGGATGTAGGAGATGTAGAATCATTTGGTTGGTCCCAGCACTGTACAAAGTGTGTATCTGATAGTATGTTGGAACAGACACCATACTGCTCTTTTCATTACACTTTTGGCTACAGAGGTCTCTATTCTGTAAAGTGCATTGTCCACTGCTAAATCAGTTCCAAGCAAGCATCTAGACACTGTGAGGGCAAATACTTCCAGCTTCCAATTCAGAATGTAAAAGTAACTAAAGAAATGACAGTACAATCACTGCACTGTTCTAAACTTTGTCCAAAAGTGGTAGTGTTGTTTCTGAATTAGCAGAACAATTCTAATTTTTGAATATGTAAGTAGAACCTTCCACTCTGTAATCATGCGTTTTCCCCTACTTTCCCCAGGTTAAAGAAAGAATGTCGGCTTTGGAAATGTTACCAGTAAAAATTCATAGGATTCTGTGTCTAGGCTCATTCAAAAGTCATTTTATTTCTGGATTATCTTAACTAACACCCCTATTGACATGAAAGCATATTCCTGTTGAGATCCATACAATGCTGTCAGAACAAACCTCATGTGTAATTTTTAAAAAGAATTAAGGGCTGAAAAATTGGCTCGTAAATTCTTTTTGCTGTTGATGGTCCAGTCCCTTTTGTTTTTCTTTTACCCACATCTCCATCCTTTATTTTCCCCAGAAGGAGGTCTCTTTAAAGGGGGTATGTGTTAATCTTATCCAAAAACTTCTTACCTGTTTTTTTTGTTGTAATAACATATTAAACAAGACACAAATGAGAAATACCCCTGATTTTATTTTATTTTTTTTGCACTGTTCTCATCTCAAAGTGCCACTAAGGTCACTAACAAAGAACAGCTCCCTCACATTGGACAGCCAAGAGGGATGTGTTTCTCCAAAGGACTCCTTGGGAGTCCCAGATGCCTGGAAATCCTGATTTTCTTCAGCAAATATTTAACCATGGGTTGATATTCCATTAAGTGCACAAACAGAAATAATGCTGGAATTTTGCTGTGTGTGATCTATAAGATGAAAATGGCATGTTATTCACATGGATGTTTAAAGCAACAATCTGTTAAAACTCAATTTGGTGCTGAACATCACCTGGTTGTTGTCTGGGGGAAGGAATAGGCCAGAAAGTGATCTGTATTAGGAATAAACAGAATGCAAGATGTACGGAAGGCCTCTAGAACTTCTCTCACATGTAGAAATCACTTCTGCCTCTAGAACAGGGTTCTCATTGCCGCTCAGGAAAACATTTGGATGTTAGACTGCCTGCAGTTTCCTAATAAACTGGTACTTTATCTGAAGCTTGGTAACTGTTGCAGAATATTTGGGGGGGGGGGGAATCTTTATGGAAAAGAAACAAGTCTGTCTTAAATGTTCTGACAAGACCAAACTCGAACTCTCATGAGTGGTGCCAATTTTTGAGTTGGACACAATTTTTATTATCCTCAAAGATGAATTTTAACACTAGGACCCCTTTCCAGATAGAGTACTGATCTCTGTTAACACCCCTTCCATTTTTCCATAATCGAGTTTACTGTTTATAACCATCCTGAAGTTTTATTTTTAGTCGAGGTTACACTTGTTTCTTCTGTATATGTTGCACTGAAAAAAGTTAATATTTAATGTTTTAATTTATTGTGTGGTTAAATTAATTTGATTTATGTTAAAAAAGAAACCCTGTTTGTGATTGGCTGTTTTCTTCCTTAATACCCTGAATTATAGTTATTTAAATGAGTGAAATACATTTTTTTTCATAATACTTTGCTGTTTGTTGTTTGTAACGGGGTGACAGGTGCAAATCACATTCGAGTTTTTCCCAGGGCAGGAACCCTGCATACATTCAATCCTCTTCCTTGAATGTTCAGCTAAGCTTCTTAACAAGTATCTTTCTAGCCCTCTCACGTGTAGAAATAAAAGAAAAGTCTCTAAGGCAGTGTTCTGTTTGGTCGCTCACTAAAGTCACCTGCAAACGTTGCCCCAGCAGCAGACAAAAATCATAAGGCAGCAGGGTAAAAGCACTCTAAGAAACTTGGCTGCTCCTGCTTTCCCATGTTCCAGCCAAGGAAAACAGAGACACTGGTGTGACAGACAGGCAGCACCAGGCACTTATTTAAGGGTGGTTTAAATAAATTTTATTATGTATTCCTAAATAACCCAGGGCTACCCATGTATAGATACTGGCTGTCTTGGATTTATTCCCCCTTGGCCAGATGCATCCACAGGCCCTCTTGCCATGACATTTCTGGCTACGGGTGTGGCCTTTAGCACAAAGGGCATCGGTATCTAATGTCTGTGCAATGTCCCTTTCCCAGTGCTTCATCTGCAAGGGAATCCCACTCGGCCAGCCATCATAGCTGAGCAAATGCAATTAGTCTCCAGATTGTTACGTGAAATTGGTTCTGCATAAATGAATTGTTATCCGGGGTGTGTGTGTGAAAGATTTCTACTCTATCCTGATAGTTTGGCCAAGAGCCTAGTCTCTAGTAAGTTCATCCTAGGTGCATTCTGACACAGTACATATGCACACTCATGTGTGCAATTTACAACAATAAAACAGACTATTTTATTAGAATATATACATTCTGCACTCCACCCACCTCAATAAACTACTCATTACAAATAGCACAGTTAAGAGTACACATAGTGGAAACAAAGTGCTGCTGCTACTTAGAAACAACAACAAACTTTTATTCCTGAAGCGCTGCTAAGAAGTGTTTATCCTGTAGCTTTCCAGAAGGTGGGCAATACTGGAAAGAAATGCCATGGTGAAGAAGGCTGTGCTCCCAGGCAGGATAATCGAGTGTCCTGGAAAGGGAAGTGCCTGTGATACTAGAGGTTTCTTTATGGACCTCCTTGGTTTCAGTGAAGGATCCATCCACCTAGTCCTGGTTTGTTCAACCTGAGTCTCCTTTCCAGCCTAAGCCAGGAGCCTACATTCAAAGTTCACCTTTAAATATGTGTTACAAAGAATGAAGTACAGAAGAAAACCGGCCCAAACTTGAAAGTTCTTTGGGAGGGGGCACTTAATGATGGAGAATGTGTCAATGGTTTTCAATATTTGGTGATAAGTTGTATACCAGCCGTCAAGCAGACATCTGCATTCTGCACTAGCCCAAACTTACAATTTTCAAGGCCAGTTTGGTGCAAAGCTGGTAGTTTGGGGGGCATGTATTAAAAGTTTTGAGATGGGAAATCCACTTTTGAAATGAGCCCTGTTGAAACCAGAGTGGAATCTGTCACCCATCCTTCCTCATGGGTGAAAGATTAAAAAGATGTGGGTGTGGGAAGTGTGTTTAAACTGAACAAGGGTAAGGAAGTCTAAATGAGATTCAACATAGGTTTCAGGCCAAGTACAACCTCTCCTTGCCTTTACCTGAAAATAAATTCTTCATCACCTAGCAAAATATCAACTGCTCTTGGGATACTGAGAAAACTCTCTGACGTCGGATGGTCAATGAGAGAATGGACCCACTTACTGGCAGGTTAATAAAGGGTCCAGTTATAAGCAGCCCTAACTTCTGCAGTTGTTTGCTTGATTTAATTGGCTAAACTAATTGATCAAAAACTTTTTGATAGTTTACAATGGAGCCCCCTATTAAAAGTGTCATAGATGCAACGAACATGAAGTTGAGCCTACTTCAGAGGACGGTGGAAGACTGGAAGGCCTGGCGTGATCTGGTCCATGGGGTCACAAAGAGTCGGACTCGACTGTGCGACTGAACAACAACAAATTAAAAGGACAGATTTTTTTCCGCCAGCATTAGCGCTTGGGCCATGTTGTAAGAGGCATTCCCTTTCTCCCTTGCATGGGGAGTGTTGTGATACATGCAAGTATGCTTTTTAAAATTCAAGTTCAGCTCTATTCAGATGTAGTCAAAACTCATGTAAGTTATTGGGAGCCCCCAACTCCTAATGGGTGTGCACATACACTATAAGGGCTTTTGAGCTGCAATGTTGTTGAAAGGTTTAGTTTTGTGTGTCTCCTTGTGAAAAATATTTCAGGCATCCCTAAAAAAGAGCTCTGTTTGTTCATGGTATCTTTGCTACTTGCTGTGATAATGAAGCACTTTGCCCAGAAAGGAGGAGTGTTCTGTATCTCCTTCATCCTCTCCAACCCCTGGGCAGAGCCCTGAACCAATGCCTGCCCTCTGTGTGCATCTCACTGACCCCGCTCTGTGGGGGACCTGCTCTGTAATGGCCTGCCAACCTTCCACTACTCATAGTCTGTAGCCATGTCTCCACACACAGAGGGCATACAGTAGGTGTGCAGCTTTCAGGAAATGGTTCCTAATAGCTACAGCCCTTTAAGTACAGGCTGACTTCTGTCATGGACCAGGGAACGCAATTGGGGGGGGGATACTTTTGTGGAACTCTAAGTGCTGTATTCCACCTCTTGCCGCAAGATATAAGAAGACCCCATATTCTGAGAGGACCTGCCCTGGTCAAAACAATAGAACTTGTTTTCTTTTAAAGGTAAAGGTTCCCTTGCTCGAAAGCCAGTCGAATCCG